CAGAGCCCATGCCTTTACCTTTTAATTGACCAAAATTACAATAATTTGTGACCAATGGCTTTGGGGGTTTTATTTGTTGGCTGGATTTAGTGCCATGTGTTGGTTCAACCAAAGTTTGGTCATTATATGCTAGGTAATGTTTTAAGCTCTATGTGTCAAGCATCATACCAGACAGTATTCATGGATATTATTTCATTTAATTCCATGCCAGCCTGCTTCCTTATAAAGGAGATTACTGCATGCTATTCTTTCACCTTAAAACTAATTGAAGCAGGGAAGATCTGGAGCATGGCAAGACCCTATTCACAGCACAGGTGCCAGGTATTCTCTGAAGAAGTTACCAGAGAGCAAACACAAGCCCGTCAACAAGTTTCTTGCTAAACGTAATCATCATACCTCTCTCTGTTAGGAATCTTTTACAGGATGTAGTTTTTCTCAGGTTAAAGACCAAAAGAGCAACAAGCTGCTTTCACCAGCTGGGCCCTGGAACCTGGCCATGGATGATTTCCTACAAAGGACTCTGAACACGAGCGGGGTTTATTGGCCAAGGGCCCAGGCTATCAAGCCAAACAGCAGCTTAGTTAAAAGGGACATAGGGCTTAGACATGAGCAAGCTGTTCTGGGCTCCAACACATTTATTAGTTTCCCTTGGAAAATTTAGATGTGCAGGAGAAATGCTCATTGTGAACAGGTGCTAAAGAACAGAATTTCAATAAAAATTAAGCCTTGGGATATAAATGATGTTTCAAATAATATTGAGTACTGAGAATATACCGGATGTTCTAATAAGATCCCTTAACAATTTTGTTCTTACAGAAGAAGGAAGGAAAATAGGTAGAGAGGGAAGGAGAAACAAATGGAGGGAAGAAAGAAGAAAAAGGTAAGTAAGGTAAAATCCTCAAAATATCTTGGTAGCACATAAGAGAATATTTAAATTATAAGTCCAAGATACCAAATGACTACATCTGGGCTTGTCCCTTCACTCTGGGAAGGTTAATAATAATATATCCCATCACTGACTAAATAAGTACCAACCCCAGGAAGGATCAAGAGAAAGGCATTTTTATTATTTTTATTTATTTATTTATTATATTTTTTAATAAATTAATTTTTATTGGTGTTCAATTTACCAACATACAGAATAACACCCAGTGCTCATCCCGTCAAGTGTCCCCCTCAGTGCCCATCACCCATTCACCCCCACCCCCCGCCCTCCTCCCCTTCCCCCACCCCTAGTTCGTTTCCCAGAGTTAGGAGTCTTTATGTTCTGTGTCCCTGAGAAAGGCATTTTTAAATACCAGATTCTATTTAGAAACAGAGCAACAAAGAAAAAAAGTTGGCAATCCTAGGACACTTCCGGAGGAAAAGAGTTTATGAATAGAAAAGCCATTTTAGAAAGACTTATAAACTCAATGGGTCACAAAAAATGATTTCTAAACCTCACTTCAGTTATTGATCATTAACAGTTTGAGGCATGCATTTGAATTCAATGTTTATAAATCTTGGTTCCTATTTGAAATGGCCATTCAAGTTCATTGTCATTTAACAGGGAAACTAAAAGAACATTCTTTATAATGTTCTATTAACAACCCTAAGAAAAATCTTCGCTACTGGTCAATGGGTGTCTTCATATGGCTCTATTTCGTAATTAGGAAGTAGGTGTTGTTATAGGGTTTAGTTAATAGTTGGTAGGGATAATGCAAGATAGGGAATGTATCTGGTTGCCAGGACATTCGATTGATCCTTGCTGATGGATGGAACAGCAGATTGTGCAAGTCCTGGAGCAGTACAGAGAACAACCAGGGACCCGCAGGGACAGTTCGCATGGTGCAAAGGAGAAAAGCAAATGCTATGATTCACTAATGAGAGATGGCAACAGAGAAGAAGGCTCTTCATATTAAAATGCATGCTGAGTTATACACAGGTCTGGCGGTGGCTAAATTCCCATTCTGTGCAAGAGAGAAGAATAAACCAATGGCACCAGGAATGGACAGAGGTACTCTGACCACCTGAAGAAGGACTAGGTGCCAGATGTCTAAAGTAAGCTATTGGTGTTGATTAAGGAAAAAAAAATGATGCTTCATTACTAAACATTGACAATATGTGCAGGCCTGAGATCAACTCCACGGACTTCACTGTAAAATTACCCTTTTTTTATACATCAGTGGTTTCCACGCTGATGCAAGATATATTAAGATCTTACAAAATGATACTCTTCAACCCCTGAATATCATCCACTCAAGGTAACTATTAGGTAATGATCATTTGACTTAAAACAATGAAGACTCGAGGCATCCTCTTTGCTCAGTGAAAACATACATTAAATGCATGTTGAAGGGGATCTGGGTGGCTCAGTTGGTTGGGTGTCTGCCTTCAGCTCAGGTCATGATACTGGGGTCCTGGGGTGGAGCCTCACCTTATGCTCCCTGCTCAGTGGAGAGTCTGCTTCTCCCTCTCCCTCTGCTTGTGTTGTCTAACTCTCTCTCAAATAAATAACATCTTAAAAAAATAAAATAAATGCACATTGAGAAAGTTCAAGCAAATGGAAGGGGGTTTGGTGACTTTTAGGATAGCAATGTCATGCGAGGACTAGGCTCCTGGGAGCCAAGTACAGTTATAGTCTTGCTTTTATTAATTTATTTGACTCTAGATGGCACACCTAATTCTCACTAAGCAAAAGAGAAACCAATAAATGGCAAAGGGCTGCAAAAGGCTTACTGCCTCTAATGTCGGGAGCATGGCAAGGAAAGATAATGCAAGAATTGTTTACACGTCTAATCTCAGAGTGAATCACGGAACCTTGCTGGATAAACTTGGGCTCGGATTCATTCCCACTTAGCACAACCTTGAAAAATATACTTAAACTCACTATGTATCAATTTTCCCAGCTACAAAATGGGAAACTATTCAAACCTCCCTTTTTTATACATTTTTTTTTTTTGGTAGCTACCTGGAAAAAGTGCTCCTCAAAAGAAAAGAAAATGCACACTATTCAGCTTTATAAAGTAAGGGCATTCTGATACGTGCTACAGCTCAGACAATCCTGAGGACATTTTGCTAAGTGAAATAAGCCAGCCACAAAATGACAAACGTGGTATTATTCCACTTATATGAGGTACCTAAAGTAATCAGAATCACTGAGACAGAGAGAAGAGTGGTGGTGGCCAGGGACCGGGGAAGAGGACCACAGGAGTTACTGTTTAACGGGCAGTTTCAGTTATGCAAGATGGAAAGACTTCTGGAAACTGGTTGCACAATAATGTGAACATGTGTAATACTGCTGAAATGCACGCTCAAAATGGTTAAAGATTGTAAAATTTTGTTTTGTATTTTTACAATTAAAGGTTTAAAAAAAAATAAGTAAAATGCACAAGAAGCCGAGCACAGAGGAAATAACCAGTCTACAAGTACTAAGCATGTGAGTGAAGAAGACTCTTCATATAAGGCAGATAAGATCCAATCTGATTGGCATACCATCACTGAAGAATCTTTAAAACTTTCCATAAAGGGATCCACTGTGACACAATGAGTAAGGAACCACAAATTATAGTTGTCAACGAGCTATCTGCTAGGCCAAGCTCTAGCCTCACAGGGACCTTCCCCATCTGAGAATCAAACAACATACATATATCAAGGCTGTGCAGCCACATAGGGTAGGAGAGACAGCTTTTTGCCAGCCAAGAAACCCATTGCTGTAGGCGAGTGGAAGGCATGTACCTGGGGAAAAGGCACGCAGGTACCAGGGCCAGGGACTCTGACATGTTCTTCCTCAGCCGCTTGGATACCACTTTGCAATTTAGCAGGTTACTGATCTAACCAAGATGTTATAGTGTTACAGGATTGTGCTCCTTGGCAACTGACAGTTCTGTTTGCAGAGGAGTTTGGAAGATCTTCATCAGTAAGTCAGAAGACATTCTGATGAGTCCATTTATTCACTCACCCCAAACTTTCTGATCCTCATCACAAGCAGGTACATTGGGAGTCATGATATAAAGGTAAATATATTTTGCTCTTTAGCCCTTTAAGTCTAGGGGAGGGACAGAGGCAGGCGACCAGATCCAGTTCATTTGGGGATGTTGTATTTTCATGATGTATTTTGATAGTAGATAACTCTAATTAAGGAAAAATTCATTCATGGGGCTGGACCATTGAGAGTTTACTCTTTCCCAAGGGTAACTACAGTTAAAAAATACAATGTGTAAACAGTGGGCACTTGTAAACTAAACCCAGAGGAAGGAGTGGCCAAAACTTTTGGGGGAATTGAATTAGCCTTCAAAGAAGAGATTACTAGGTCGGGTTTGGGAGGAGGGACATAGGATGTGCTCTAGCCAAGGCAAGGCCTTATAAAAAAACAAAGGTCCATGAAAAAAATTATGTCTGAACGATGATGAAAAGATATTCATAGCTAGGATGTGTGTGTGTGTGAGTGTGTGTGTGTGTGTGTGAGGAGGAGAAGACAAGGAGGGGTGATGAGACTGGAGAACTGGCTTCAAATCATGCTGACAACCCTGAATATTACTCCAAGTAGTTTGGCTTTGTCTTGAGGGTTTTAGAAATACAACTCTTAGGTGGCAAATAGGCAAGAGTAACTATTTAGATAGGCGGATCATTAACTCTAATTAAGAAAAAATTCATTTGTGGGGCTAGAACACTGAGAATTTACTCTCTCCCAGGGGCAGCAAACACAATTTTTCTTCATTATTTAATTTGAAGAACAGAGGGCCTTGTGAACCAGACTGAAGAAATTAACTGCTGTTAAAGATTCAGTGATATATTTTTTTTCTTGGAGAAAAGAACACTAGTTTGGAGGAAGGAGGAAAGAGAGACTATGAACAACATATAAAGCACCACAAACAAAATAAGGAACTTCCTGTAGAAATGCAGAAAGTAGTACGGCAAGCGAGCAGATGGAAGTGAGTGCCTCTGAGACTCTACACCCATCTGCCAAGGGCCATTAAGGACACATATCTGCAAGCACTTTACAACATAACCACTCTTACCTTTCTTTTGATATCAGTGAACTGGGAAAACATTAATGACCAATAAAACGACAGCTCCAGGATATAATAGTAGTGAAGGTCAGTTGTGAGTGGCTGAGGATCAAAGCAAAAAAGGAAAGATTAAATAGTTAATAGGAAACCAATTTGTGTCCCAAATATCTTAAGCTTAGAGCTGAAAAGTGACATGGTCTTGTGCCTCTTCAAATTCCAGCCCCATTCTCTCTGTGGAGAAGAAGGGCTTTGAAGTATGCCTTTAATCCACAGCTTGATGGCATTAAGTTTTGTTTCATCACCAACCAAAAAAGTGTGAGTATGAACATTTGGTACCAAATTCACTATTTAACAATAGGATTTATGGTTCCTTGACATAAGTATCTGTAAGATTCCTTGGGCAACCTGAAACAAAACAAAACAAAATACATACACAAAAGGAATAATCCTGGAAAGTGCTAGGAGATTCCACAGTACAGGAGCAAGGGAGGTAGGTGATAGAACTGGGGTGCCAGAGGGTCACAGAGGCAGAGTTTCAAGTTCTGCATTAATCAGAGCTTTCTTGTTATTAGGAAATGTGCTGTACATTGCAAATATCAAAAAAGACAATTAAAAAATATTTATTAAAAGACACAGGGATAAGGAAGCTGCCAAGAAATACCAGGCTAGGCCCTCAGCCAGGAAATTTGAGATCAAGTCTCAGCTCCATAGCTCAGTAGGTATAAAATTTGGGCCTTAGTTTACTTATTGTAGAATGGAGGTAAAACCTGCTCTATCTGCGCCTCAGAGGTCCAGGAATGGGGAGAGGCTCAGAGAGGCAGTAGAAGTCAGGAATATTTATTTTGTTTACGGTGCTATAATGAAATGTCTTACTTTGCCAGAATGAATGAAAGTCCTTTGAAATGCATCATCTCCATGCTACCCACAATGTGTAGTAGCATATCCAGTAACTACGATTGAAATTTTAATGCTTTGTGAACCAATAGTAGCATAACAAATGACTTTCAGGAGAAAGCTGGCACACACTTTACTGATTCTACCGACTAATTTATGCATTGGCACCAAAGAAAAACAGTTGTCCCTCCCACTGATCTTTGGCAACAAAATACATGAGGGGACACGATACAGACCCACCAGCAATCCCAAGCTCTGAGTGACAATGAGCATCAGTGTGTTTATCAAGCTCAGCACACTCTGGAGATAATATATTTTCCATTGAATTGTCCTTTTAAAATTTGCAAGCATTAGCAATAATAAGGGATGGGTATTCAGGTCAGACATATGGCAGCAATGAAGTCTAAAATATAGGGCACTGGCTTCAGGACCCTTGGAGTCAAGGTTAAATTTCAGTTTTAATGAGATTCTCTGCAACACCACCTGGGAAAAGCCATGGAGGGCTATGAAGACAAGTGAGAGTACATCAAGAAACCACAGGGTTCATAAGAGAGCATCACATTACAACACTATCATATTCATGCAGTGCTTTGCAGTTGACAAAGCTTACCCACTTGTTAATTTCTTTGACTCTCATAAAAATCCTACAAAATTAGTACCATCATTTTCTAGATGGTATATTTGACAGGAAATTGCTGTCAGTTAGTGTGGACTGAAAGGTCAATCATAGCTTGTGAGGCTCTGTGAACAACACACTAGGGCTTCTCATTCCCAACTCAGGCTATTTATCACAAACTATACAAGCCCAACTAAAGACCACTTTCCATTGATTAAACTTAAAATATACACATGTATATAAAGATCATCATATAATAAGTTATGTATTTACATATATAGTCTTATACAAGCAGCAGTGTGCCTTTAATGAAATTGCAACAGACCACTACTTTTATCTAAAAGACTGTTCAATTATTTAACATACATGCTAACTAGATAATAAATATATTTCATCAGCATGATCTGTCTTTAAAAGTACTTTTAAGGCTTGAGATTGACACTGAACTGCAATGTACATATTTATGGAAACATAGCTACTGACAATGCACTTTAATTGCATGTGTAATAGTTACATGCTGTTTAATTGTTTCCTATACCTACAAAAAGAAAGAGCTGATTTTTTTATTAGAATATGGAGTTTATCTAAGATGACCACTCTTCCCATAAGAGATTGTGAATTAATTAGTCCTAGATTTTGGGGCTGTATGCCAAATTATTCATTTATGAGTGATGATGTGTTATTAGCAGAAGATAATCTTGATCTGAATCCCCACACACAGTATCTTTCCTTCCATACTAATGATGTTTCTTATTTTTAGTTTTTATTTTATTATTTTTTTAAGATTTGTTTTATTTTTAAATAATCTCTATACCCAACATGGGACTCGAATTTACAACTCTGAAATCAAGAGTCACATGCTCTACCAAGTCAGGCAGGCACCCCAACGTTTCTTATTTTTAAATGTTAACTATCCACCAGACTCCAATTTTCATGTTAAATCTATCGTTTTATCTGTGTCACAGGCTGCAATGAAATTTTGAGCCACTGCCCCAGGAACTAATTATCTCAGAAAAAAGCAATTCCTTAGCTCCAGCCATAAATGTGAAAGTTATTTCAGACTATGCTATAGTTATAAAGAAGAGTGGGTATTAACATTCACGTGACATTTGTCTTAACGTTGCTCATATGACAGAGTTTACCTCATAAATGCACCTGCTACATCAATGTACGAGTTACAGTTTCTAGAAGGCTTTGATGTTCTTTTATAAATAGAATTCTAGATATATTTGAATTTTTCCACTCAGTATGCCATTACAAGACACAAAGAGAGGTATAATCCCAAATATTTAAGGTAGGAAAACAAGAGAATTACAACTATACACAGCAAGTGATTGGTTTCAATGTTGTTTCAGTCTCTATCAGAAAGCCCTGGAATGCTCAGCTTTCTCAGCCATATTGCTTGTTTACATTCTTTTCTAATCCGAATAAAACTACATGAAGGAGATGAAAATGCAAACTGGAATTCCATTTCAGTGTGTCCCTAGCCCTTGCTGCAACACTGAATGTATCAGAGCAGATACAGAGCATGCTTGCTCCTCATTAATTTTATGCACATCAGAAAGACGAAATTCCTCTAAAAAGACAACCCAGAGAACTGAAGAGTCAAAAATCCAAGGTGCCTATTGTAATGTATGTCTTCTTAATTTTACCACCAAAATGCCTAGTTGCATTTGATTCTCTTATATAACATATTTCAATTAAACTAGAAATTCTATAAAATTTTCAGTTAAGAAATTACTAGAAAAGACCCAGCTATGACATTCAAGTAGAAGCCGCTCTGAGGAACAAAACACATGCTAATATTGAATTCATGGACAGAGGCAAAGGTATGATGGGCGCAGGGATCTGAAATGTTCCCTTTCTGAGATATCATTTTAATCTCATTTTTGATGATGGTTTTAAGTCTAGTGTAATGATAGGAGCCCATTTTTCTATGCTCAGGGAAATGGTGCTTCATTTACATACTTAGAGACTGCTCTGAAGCCAGAAAGTGGCCTGAACTCCTCATGCTCCCCGCAGCCCTATACTTGAGCTTTTTGCCTGCTTGCTGTCCAGACAGACCCTTTCTGGTGTCAGGTCTTCAGGCCCTCTGCAGTGATTATACATAGATCAGCTGTTAGAAGCAGGAATCGCCCAACTATGGAATTGACTGCATCTTACTCTCCAGCAAATGCACCCACCAGCTTATTCCATTTGCTAAAGCAAGTGAGCTTTGATTCTGAACTTCTCTGAGAACACAAGCTACTCTCCTTAACCAGGCTAAGTCTGCATCAAACAGCAGGGGTGTAGGCAGGGGCCTAAAACTATGAATCTGACCTAGGGAAGATATTCTGGATGTGTAAAGACCCAGAAGGTAATACTTCCTTACCTGATAGGGGTAGTTGTACCAGCAATGCCTTGTATTCCACAACCAGGGGGTCTGAAAAAAATGACAAACACATTTTACAGGTTTTGGAAATGAAGCAGGATAAGAGATGTTTATGACAGATTCTTGCCCCCAATATTTTGGGATTTCAATAATATACCTGTAATGAGAACTGAAGGACTTAGCTAGAATTAGGATATTAAAGCAATTAGTATTCCATTATACATTCTCTCTGGGTAATCTTCTAAACTCAATTGGTAGTATTTCTGTGATGGAGTCCCTGCTGGTGTTTTTTTGTATTTAGTTGGTTACACAGACACCTTCCCCACTATGTAACCAGTCTCTGCAGCAGAGCCTTAAAAGGTCTCACTTAGACCAGATGCAAATCATCAATCTCACTATTATCAATAAACAATGCTGACAGTTGGTGCAAACTACTTTGAAACTCCTCCAACCTAAGGCTGCAAAGCAACCTTATCAATCAATCCTTTCATGCTTTGATGACTAGTGGTTAAGTAACAGGCAGGTATACTGATTTCAGTAGAATGGCCTAGACTAATTCCAGGCCCAAGGGAATTAACCTTCACAGCCCACTCCATCCCCCAACTCAAGGCCAAGGTCTTTTAAAGACAAAACAATCATTCTTAATTTGACAGCAATCCCTAACTTTACAACACTATAAAATCGAAAGAACAGCTAAGTGTACACACAGATTCCAAACATTTATAGTAAGCAGGGAGAGACTGGTAGAAATTTAATCAGGCTGCTGAACAATCCAATGACACCAGGACAAACTTTCTCATATTTTCGCATTAACTTTATAATTCTTTTGCATCTCTGACCTACAGTTACCAGCATCTTGCAGCATACATCTACATACATTTGGTCCACATCTGGATGTTTCTTATTAAGAAACATAATCTATCCTTAGTCCAGTCCATGTTTATGCATCTCAAAATGATATTATCATTAAAAGATTGTTAGATATATTTGTATGGACCTAACCTCCTTCCTTACCTTGTCCCAGATCCTATGAGATTAAAAGTTGCTGCTGTCTGCAGTAAGATAAGGTACTTGTCTCCCTGAGAGGTACAGATACCCTGTCACCCTATCATCAGCCTCATCAGCCTTGCATTGATGAGGATGATGATAACAATGTTAGTATTGTTCAGTTATCCATATATCCACACTTTTTTTTTTAAAGGCTTTTTCTCCATAATCTGTTATTTACTGAACCAATTAAAAAGTTGTTCAGGTCCAAACTCCCATACACTTTTAAAGGTTCTCATACATGAACTCACTTTATCCTTACAATAGCTAGTAGTGTTTGGTTCATTTTATACTTAGGTCAAGTGAGGCCCTGAGTCTGGAAATAACTGTCCAGGTTAAATAGCTGCGTAGTCCCAGAGCCAGAAATCAAACCCAGGCTCTTTGGTCTCAAACCCAAATGTGACTACTATGCCCCCTGCCTCTCGATCTAATAAAAACTGAACCGGCCTCGGTACAGGGAGCCGGACTGAAGTAAAAAGCCATTCTTGGCCCTAAACTAACCTCCTCTCATTAAAGCACTACTGATTTGCCTTTCTTTTTCCTGGCTTTGCCCCTGGCTACCTCTTCAGTGCCGTACTTGTCATGTAACCTCACTGCAATGTAACATCCTGGGTGCCTCAGTTGTTTGCTTATCTGTCTCCTCCATTTCTCTCACCTGTAACCTTGATGTGTATTACTGACCTCCCTGACAGAGCACTTGTGAGGATCAAATGAGAAAGCATGTATAAAAATACTTTGGAGGCTTCAAAGTTTATTATGTTGTTGTCACATAGTTATATGAACACATGTCCATTGAGGAAGACACAGAAAATAATGAAAAATATTGTGTATTTCATCACTGTTAACATTTCATGTACAGCCCACTTTTGGTCTTTTTAGATATAAACATAGATTTATTTTTAATAAATAAATTAATCACATAATTTTAAAATGTGGGCATAATATACCAAAATCTATTTTAAAGTATAGTAGGAATGTTAGTTTTTGCCCTTTTGCTAATAAAGCTGTTTATTATTTCAACAATTAGTTGCAAGTCCTGGAGGGAAAGGTATGTCATATGCATATGTTTACGCCCCCAGCACCTACCCAAATTGACAGTTTAGCATTCATTTAGTGAAATGCCAATGAAAAGGAACACAGAAGGCAGCCCGGGTGGCTCAGAGGTTTAGCGCCGCCTTTGGCCCCGGGGCGTGATCCTGGAGACCTGGGATCAAGTCCCACGTTGGGCTCCCCTGCATGGAGCCTGCTTCTCCCTCTGCCTGTGTCTGTGCCTCTCTCTCTCTCTCTCTGTGTGTGTGTGTGTGTGTCTCATGAATAAATAAATAAAATCTTTAAAAAAAAAAAAAAGAAAGAAAAGGAACAGAGAACTAAATGCAAGGTCTATGACAACACGCCCCCCAGCATTTTTCTGAATATACTAGTCTCAAGCCAATGGGGCAGGTGTGTGCTTGCCTCCAGATGTGGGGGGAATCTCTCCCTCTGCAGTCACTCCTAGTCACAGGAAGGAGAACAAAGGTCTGACTCCCAGTGACCTAGAAAAATCCATTATTTAGAGCTTTCCTTCCTCTGTTTCTTGGCTTCTCTGTTTTTTCCCTAACATGCATGCTTTTCCCTCTGTGCATCATAGACGTACACCACCTAGACCTCTGTTTCTATTACGTGCCGAAACTTGACTGACCTGCAGAAATACTGGATGAGTCTTTGTTTCCCAGTGGACCCTGCCCACTTGAAACAAGAACAAAAGGCCTAGATATCATGAATTCGATGGAGCTACCAGGGCCCTAGCTCAGCCTGCAAACTTACTTGCCAAACAATTTAATGATAAGTTAAATGATAAGTTAACTTAATGATAAGTTTTTTCAAATGCACTGCATGTCACATATATCTCTCACTTTGACAATGGTAGATATGAATATCACCTTCTATATGTGTACCACATTTTTCTATGGTCTCAAGTGATGCACCTCCCCAACACTATGAGACACAGAACAAATATAAAGGTCATCTTTCTCAATTACGGATTAGAAAACTTAAGTTCATGAGAAGATGATTTTCCTAATTTTTGTAGCTCAACATTTGTGTATAAATCTGAATTAGCTGTTTATAATTTATTAGTTTTAATTCCTTTTATTAGTTATAATTTCTTTTATCTGAATTGATACAATGGAGCTATCTTTTCTTAAAATCAATTTTTCCATTTTCTGTATTTCTAGGTATCTTTTTCAGAATCATTTCCACATTTATTTGAGATTAAAATCTGCATATTCCAACACACAAATTAAATAGTAACATAATTCAAAACATAAAAAGCTGAAATAGACATTAAAAAAGAACACTGGTAATTAAAAAAAAAATACACTGAAAACCCTCCATTGAGAATTGTAAGCCTAGCATCTTCCTAAATAATAATAAGTCTGAGCTTAGAATAGTACACAGCAATTCAAGCACATTTTTCCAGAAATAAATATGCCTTTTTCATATGGTATTACAAAATCAAGTCATATTATCAAGATTGGAAAATCTAAAAACACAAGGAGTCTCCAATCTTGTCATTCCAGTACTTTCAGATTCACATTATTCTGTTATACACATACACTTAAATAATGTCACAAAACACTTCACAGATTTCAAAGTAATTTATACATACTCTCTTATTTAATTCTCACAACAATATTATAAGCACTCAAACTAACATAGCCAGCAGATACCATAAGAGACAACACGCTGGCCTGAAGCTTCTCAAACCATTAAAATGTAGGTTCTGATTGAGTAGGTCTGGCTTGGGGCTGAGATTCTACATTTTTAACAAGCTTCCAGGCAGTGCAGATGTTAATGGGCCTTGGACCACGTTTTGAGTATTAAGGTGGATGGGGAAACTAAGGTGATACCATCTTCTCAGTATTCACCATGTGCAGGGCATCTTTACTACGCCCTTTGTTCCAATATTCCACAATTTAACGTTGGGTAAATGAATGAATGATTTCTAATGTTAATAATAACAATTTGAGGCAGAAATGGCTAGTAAAACAATACTTAGCTAGAGACATTGCTTCTCAACCAACCTCCCTGTTTGATAAAACCACAGATCTAAGCTCTGGTGGAAGGGATGTGAGCAGAACTCAGGATGATGCCCCTAAAAGTTCATGTGAATGAGGTCATGAAAACTGGAGCAGTCACCTGGGACCCTACATCTGTTTCTGTAGAGGCTGGTGTCAGGGGACTCCTACCAGGCCCAGTCTACTTACCTTTGGATTGTATGTGTGAAAGGGACAAATTCTTACCATTTTTCTCATATATAAGCTACTGGGTTTTCTTTAAAATATATATATACATATATTATACACATACACACACAAACAAAGCCTGTATTCTCACTAATATACGCATCAAGGCAAGTATTATTGTTTTATAAACAAATAAGTGATCTCAAAGAGGTACCATATTTAATTGAAGACTACTCAGCTGATAACTAGAAAACCTAAGATTTAAACCCAGGCCAGCCAGATCCTTCCACTTCCCTTCCCTGTGGTACCCTGGGTACAAAGAATGGGTAAGGAAAGAGAAACAAGAATGCCTGGGTGGCTCAGTGGTTGATCATCTGCCTTTGGCTCCGGGTGTAATCCTGGTACCAAGATTGAGTCCCACATCGGACCCCTTGTGAGGAGCCTGCTTCTCCCTCTGTCTATGTCTCCATCTCTGTGTGTGTGTGTGTCTCTCTCATTAATAAATAAAATGTTAAAAAAAAAAAAAAAGGAAAGAGAAACACCATGGGCATTTGGAATTGATTACCCCCCACTGAGCTATTACATTAAAAAAAAGAATTTCAGGTTAGAAAGGGCCTCCAAATCCTGTTTAACCTACAAAAGAACCCACATATAAATATGAGTAATCAGGCTTCTCACTTTTGAGTTCCACGTTTATCAATCACTGACAAGATCCATCAAACTTACTTCCTGTTTTTTTTCTTAGTCAACAGAAATTATATCAATTTTTGTTTGTTTTAG